TAAAACTCATGAATCTTTTTCCATGAGTCTTCCCTCTGCATCTTCAGCTGCTTGTAGAAGTTGCTAATAAAGTTCTCAGCTTTGGCAAACAGCTCTTGCCCACTAAGCTCCTCGAAAACTTCTTCTTCTTCTCCCTCAATGTAACGCTTTTCCTCGATCACTTCGTGATCTCCATGATAAGTCTCACCTCCCCCTATGAAGAAAAGGCTAGGCATAGAAGTACACTTCTTCACACTCTCCACTTTCACAGTGTCCACAATCTTCTCAGACTTGGATTTCTCAACAACCCTAGCCTTCTTTTCGACATATTGCGGAGCAACAACCGTTTGATGTTCATCATTACGGGAAACAACCCTTTTTTCGTCTGAGGCTAGCTCCGTGGGAACCACAGGCTTGGGAGCAAAAGAAAAACTGGCGCCAGAGCCGTTCTTCTTGTCATGGTCTGAATCAAGTTTGGAAAAGGATGAGAGGACGCCGGCTTGTGCTCCGAGAGCAATGATGAGGAGGTTAGTGATGATGTAGAGGTAAGGAGTCCTTAGTGAGGAGGACAACAAAGGTGCAAGGACGAGAAGAAAAACTAGCAGAGAAAACATAAGAATCTGAGATTTTTCATTAAGCTTGCTCATGGCGTCTACTGAGGGACTGAAAAGGTGGTGCGGGTAGTATAGGAATAATAAGGATGAAGTGCGAAGAATGAGAGGAGTGAGAGGGATGTGGTTTATGGTAGTAGAGAACAAGTAAAAGCCTAGGGACGTATTTATAGAGAGAGAGAGAGATGGAATTGTCTTGCTCATAGGATCATGGCTGCAGAATATTATTATAATAGTCAAAAGAAGTACAAAAGAAATTCATTGGAAGCCAGCAGTGCCTTAATCACACTACAATTTTTATCTCTTCATGCATGTCATTTTCACGATCAATTCATTTAATTAAGCAAAGGGTCAATCGAATTATGTACGTTCATATACTCAAACGCACTCACCGGTTAGCACTTAGCAGTAAGAGGATTCACTCTTACATCTAATGCTCTATGTTTGATTTTGTTTACAATATCATCGCACGGGATTTGTAGATTCGTTTAGAGCATTCAAACTTACATATTTGGTTCTATGTCCGTATACTCAAATTCACGCATCAGTTAGAAATTGATCAGAAGCTAGGAACTAATAATTGAAGTTGTCAAGAGCTTTCGCTCATGTACTGAGGTTCCATATTTGATTCCTCCCTTCTAGAGTATCATAGTAAATGACTAGTAACTCCAGTAGTAGATAAGAGCATTCAGCCTTACATCTGAGATTTTATGTTTGATTTACCCCTTCAACAATCTACATCATTGTAATACACTTGCAGTTCAAATGATTAAGAACATTAAGACTTAACACATAAGATTCTATGTTCGATTTCTTTACTTTTTACAGTATATTTATAATGAACTTGTATATCAAGTTCTTAAGAACATTCAACCTTCCGCCTGAAATTTCGTGTTTGATCCCTCCCTTCTCCAACATGGCTCGTATTAATAAATAAGAAAACAATATTATCGTCCATTTTAGGAGCAAGATTCTATACAAGAAAGATATAACAGCAGATAACATGCAAGAGGGAGTGAGATTTGAATATAATTGGACAATGGTTGATAAGGTCGGTGAAAGAATATTCTTCAATTGCTTTCATTTGCTCTTTTTGTTTCCATGGTTAAGAGGTTAACTAGCTCTTAGTAGAAACGTGCGGTTCCTGCAGATTAAGCTTGCATCGGGTCCCACGATGGGCTAATTGTGTTGTGGAGAAAATTTTTATTTTGAATCACATCCCATGCATCTTGCACAGTGCAGTACTTGGAGTGAGTACGATACTTTTATATAGAAATCAGGCAATTTAACTTTGACACTTGTAATAATACTGCTATTTTAGTATGAGTTTAATATATTGATATCACACTCACAAGTTTACCATATTGAAACGATTGAACCACATAGCTACTCAGTACTACAGTCTGATGGTATTCATCTTCACTTGTAAGTAAGAGGTCTTAGGTTCAAATCTCGTGGATGACGAATTCAATACCAAATTAGGTTGCCCATTGTGTATCTTAGCCGAACTCCTCCTCTCCCTTAGTGTAAAATATATCGTTGTACTCCGAAAAACGAACCACATAATTCATATGATATAGATTTAAGGTATTAAAAACTAAATTCATGTTAATAACATAAGTAAATTGATAATAACACTTACGCTAATTTTTTTTTTAAGGAAAACTAATAAAAATGACTTAAAAACTTTGAGTTTTAAGTGTAAAAATATGATTTTTCATTAAACTGAACAGTACTGGGAGTTTTTCGTAAAGTTTTTTTATTTTTTTTTATGTTTTATGAGTCGGCTAATTAATTGTGGACCCCCCAAGAATCTAGCAAAGAGTCCCACTTGTAGCACTAGTGCGCCTGTAGGCTGTAGTGAATGGTCCGTCACAACCCCTCCACTTCCAAGGCCCACTTGTCCGTTCATTTTGGACTTTTTCGCCTCTCCCAATCAAAATAAAATGACCCGACTTTAAGACACACCTAAAAGGGTCCGCAAACTTTTTTCTTTTCTTCTGAATTCCCCTTTTTTATTTAACTATTATGTTTTCTAGTTGTTAAAGCAGATAATTCTTTTTTAAACTAATCTATTTTAAAAGGGAACTTTAACGAAAAGCACCTGATAATGTTCACTTTAACGAAAAACCATATTTTTACACTAAAAAATCAATCCTGGTACTATTCACTTTACCCTTTATTTTGTCTTTATCATTAAAACTCAAAGTTTTCAAGTCATTTTCATTAGTTTTCCTATTTTAAAAATGTGAAGAAGTTGACTAAGTCTCACAATATATTAGTAATATTGTGATTCAAATTCATATTTGGTGAGAATCTACCACTAAGTTGTAGTACTAAGTGAGAATTATTAAAGCAAATTAGCATTAACCCTTTCTTAAATATCAACAAAAATAGACAAGTATTAGTCATGCAGTCCTTCAGTACAATGAGTATCCCATTCTGATTTATAATGCAAAATACAAAACACCTAATTTGAAACGTCGATAACAATTTTTCAAAAATAAAGAACAATATTTATTTATTTGAATCCTAATTTTCAGTACCGTCAAAAGAGAACCCATAAATAGATGGCTCCCAAAGAAATGGATAAGGCAAAGGATACAAATGTGTGATGATTTTACTATTCAAACTTTTCTTTTGTCACCTTTTTGAACAATCTGGATTCTGTAATCTTAAATAAGTTAAATTAGATGACTAATGCAGTCAGTAATATTTGTGTGTACAGACAATTGTAGGACCCACATGAGATCAGATAGCCTATAAGCCTACACAAACACTCAATCCAACCAAAAATACCTAAAGAAAAATATTTGACTACTCAAAAATAAGTAGGAGCTCATATTCAAAACTTTATATTATGAATCACAGAGTTTTGTACTTATAATTAGAATCTTTTATATTATGAATCACACTGTAAAGATTATCTATGCTAAAAATAAATTAAAACTAAGATCGTTTAGTCAATATATTGTATCAAATGCATAAACGGTTCGTAATGCCTTTACCAATACCGTTCATTTGTTTTCAAACATTTTAATGACTAAACGATGTTATTTTTAATTGATTTTTTTTAGAGAAGATCTTTATAGGATGATTTATAATTTGAACAGTTCTTATTATAAACACGAAGTTTTATAAGTTGAGTTTTATAAGTTGACAACGAACAATTTTGAAAAATTGTGAGTAGAAATTCCTACTCATATTTGAGTAGTCAAATATTGTTAAAAACTAAATCGAAAGGATTCTAAATGTTCTTTCGAGGTTGTAGGATGACGATGATGATTCCACTTTTCCTAGGATTGGAAATGAAGAGATCTTAGGAGACTTGAAATGGAAAGAAAGAAAGCAATGCTCAACGTGCTTTGCACCGACAAATCTTGTCCAACAGATTTAGATACTCCCTTATCCTTTTGATCCAACTAAGCGCCAGATAACTCACAGTTTCCCTTATGTGTTTTTTGTCCAAGATTTCCGCCCGTTTGGTATATATGATTGGATTGGAACGAGTAACTTTCTAGTTTTAAGGTGTATTGAAAGTAGAAGTGAATGAATTTTGAGGAGATTCGAAGAGCATTAGACATGAAGAAAACTCGTCCCTTCTACTCCTACCATTTTTAAAAATGATTGGATGATAATCTAGTCATAATATTTTTATTTTTCATCTCAACGTATCGTGAAATTAAAAATCATTCATTAAGATCCAATTATGCATACCAAACAAGCCCTATTATTGTATAACTTGTACTGGCAGCAAACAACTCTTCAGTTGAGAGCCTAGCTTTCTAAAATGGGAACTTTAACGAAAAATTTCCGGTACTGTTTACTTTAACGAAAAATCACATTTTTACACTAAAAAGTCAATCCTGATACTATTCACTTTACCCTTTATTTTGTCCTTATCGTTAAAACTCAAAGTTTTCAAACCCTTTTCATTGGTTTTCCATTCTAAAATAGCTACGTTGCATATAATTGGTCCCATTAAACTTCAGTCCCAGCTCACCTTGCATACCTTCTCAATTTCTACTAATTGACACAAGGGTTGCGCCAGCATCAGTCGCACATGGGCCCTGTGGATGCTACCCGTCGATCATTCTGGGACCCGAAGAGGGAACATAAAGAACAATGGCTAGCATTCAGTGATGCGTGACTAGTGTTAGCATTCCCATTGACAATATGGTTTGCAGTTAAACTAGAAGGTTGGTCATAAAAAGTTAGGTTGCAAGCAAAAAAGGTCGTACCCAGTGCACAAGGCTCCCGTTTTACGCAGGGTCTGAGAGAGGTGAATGTCGGCTAGCCTTACCCCCATTTATGGAGAGGCTGCTCCCAAGTCTCGAACCCGAGACCTACCGCTCATGGGCGAAGGCACTTGCCATCGCACCAAGTGCGACCTCTAGGTTGCAAGCAAAAAATCAAATAAAATTATTGCACAGGAAGCAAATTAGGAGCTGATATTTCATATCAAATTCACACAAGACACATTGAACAGCATATACAGAAGCTGGATTAGCTTAGGAAAGTTCAGGGCGTGCTCAAAATCAACACAACAGCATGCAGCAAAACATGAGAATCAAGGCGACTGAAATAGGCTTACGTTTCTTTCAGTACTGCTCGAAAGGCCCCGGTTGCTTGCATATGGCGATGGCAAGCCAGCTTCAAATATTCACATATCAAAATGTACACTACATCTTTGCCTACGATGAGGGCTGGTCCACTCCATCTGAGATTCGACGAGATGGAAGATGAATGTTCATGTCATCTAAAGTTGGGCAGTCATCTATGCTTAGCCCGCGGTCATTAGCTAGATGCAAAAGGCAGATGAAACACAAATGGGGCGTGATATCCTGAGCCGCTGCAGCTCGGCAATTGACAGGAAAGGTAGCCAGGACATACTTGAAGGATATGGTGTCTTTGAATTCCTTCTGTAAGTAAAGTGATATTCAGAATGAATGAAAAGCCCCCTTTAGTAGATAAAACAAGAAAATATATCCCTGTGTAACTTGCAAAGAGATACTTAAGTTATGAGACTGGAAAAAAATTTCATGAACATGTTGAAGAAAAAACAATATGAATTCCGCACATGCAATCAGAATATGCTTACCGCAGTAGCAAATCTGGCAGATTCTTGCATATGACCCCACAGAGTTTCCTTCAATGCATGAACATCAACTTGTTTTGAAGTTCTGTCGTACCGAACTTCAATGTTGCTTACCTGAAACATCACAAGTCACAGTCTTTAACCAGAAGTTCTTCGTGCGGAAACATAACGCCCAGCATTCCCAAAAAATTGATTTTCTCAGTGCGTTATTATCATTAAACAATGAGGACATTGTAATTTCAATTCACACACAAAGTAATTGCATGTCCAGGAAAGCAACAAAAAATGAACAACCCCAGCATGCAGGGTTGAGATAGCCACGTTTTCCCAACCTAATTTCAGTGGCACCCTGTAATCCATTTCAGAGAAATCGCTTCACATTTTTGTTATTGCAGTTTCGCCCAATTTATTGGAAGTCTACTGACCTAATCTAAAGTTCCAAATGAGCACCAACTACCAAGGTAGAGTTTTCATATTCATAAACTAACAAAGAAAAATTTGAAACCTGACGAGGTGGAGAGACAAGAGTATCCGAGTCTTCTACATCGCTATGAATACATCCATCATCATATTGGCCACTAAGCACACTCTCATCGTCCCATGGTGGCAGTGCTTCATCAAACTTGTGACTTTGTTTCCAGGAGTTATAATCTGAAAATTAAAAATAAGAGTCATCCTTCAATTCTTGTAAGAGTTGTGCAGAAATTAGCCTTTTTCGTTCTAGAGTAAAATAAGATCACTATCATAAGCCAATAGATAAAAAACGGAAAAATTAGTATCCGGTCCTTAGTTCTTACTGTTCATTTACTAAGACCTTATTAGTTCTTAAATTTTGATTCAAGTCCCTAACAATAATGTGGTAATGAATTTACATATTTATTATATATTTTTTTAATATAAAAATTAGTAATTAATTTAGGGTTTAATACTCACACCTCTATTAAACTTCTAATTAATTTTCAATTCAAACATTTCCAAAATAATAAAAAATTAAATTAAATTAAGTTTGTACCTATTAGTTTTTTTTTATACATAAAAAGATTCTCAATTTTTTAATCTTAAATGTACCCATTCATATAATTTTTCAATTTTTTTAATCTTAAATGTACCCATTCTCAAATATATCAATTTGTTATATGTAAAATGTACCCTTTTTTTTAATATAAAATCTATTCAAATTTTTTAATCCATGTTTAAACTTATATGGATACATTCTTTTTCGTTGATTTGAGAATGTATCCATGTTTTGGTACAATAATTTTTTTTGTTAATTTTGGTTAATGTACACACACACACACAATATAATAGAGAGTATAATTTATATTTTATTATTTTTAATCCCATAAATTATGGGTTTTATTTAAAATCTCATTAATATAAACAATTACAAATTTCAATTTTCAATTTTTAATTTTTAATTTAAAAAATATAGTAACTTACATTATTACATTAATGTCAGGGACCTCAATAAAAAACTAAAAACTAACAAGTTTTCAATCAAAGAATATTGATAGCTAGGGACCGCATCCAAAGTGTCCCGATAAAAAACCATTAAAACAAAATTACAAGTGGATGATAATTAGACATTTGAATCATGATGTATGTTTAAACTGACACACACACACCCGTGCGTACGAAGAAGCTGATACCTGTATGCTGTTGTCTTGTCTTCCCAAGGCACTACAATAAAAATTGAAATTTTACCACTAACCACATCAAACAACATAAGGATTCAGAAACTAATGAAACCTAGGAAGAAATATGAGAAAAAGTGTCCTAAGGCCAATATTAAGCCTACAACTTGGACAGGCTAACCATTTGGCCATCGTTTGAAGGCACAAGACCATTGTATGATTTTAGACCTGATAAACAGTTCAAGATTGGCTTTAGCATAACTTAGGCTCAGCTCATAACAAAACCAACCCTTACTACATAACGGAATTAAGCTTGAACACAAACAAAATATGAAACATGGAACTGCACAAGTACAACATATTCTGAGTAATAGCATGTTATCATTTGTATTCAACTCTTTAACTAAGTGACAAATTTTATTTTGCGGATTCTTATACTGTAGTTATCACAAACTCAACCGATGGATATCTACCCTGGATTAGCGTCCTATACATGGAGTGAGATCATGATCATGTCAGAATCTCCATCTTTCCTTGAAATTTTTTATCATGGATAACAATGGCTTTGTATATTATTGGACAACATGGAGAAATCATTACCAGAACATTGGGAAGAAGAAACAACTTGACAAGATTCTCAGGTTTATAATGGTAGTCATCTGGAAGCCTGTTACTGACAGGTATTCGATTTGCAGGTAGGAGTGAAGACTTGAATTTTTTTGGCACAGCAAAGATATTTGGAATTTCGTTGTCTAGAGATGCTGTGAAATCAAGCTCAACTTCCTTATAGTTTTTGTTCTTTGATATATTAGTAGCTGGTCTGCTTCGAGTGGCAGGAGCTTCCTCCGAACCTACAGAACAGAAAACAAAGACAGTAAAATCAAGGCTTACCCACAACAGAGCAAACCGAAAAGTCATTTCCTTTGTAACACCAACCCTTAGACCTCCAATACTTCCAGTGATGAGGACCAGCCCATGAATTTTCCTTTAATCTCAAACCTTGAAACAAAAACATAGAAACTTTCTCAAATCTGTCATCCACATCCGCTTCATATGATGTATGGGAGTTATTATCCTGCGCAAATTTAGAAAACGTATTCCATTTATCTTTTTCATTCAGCAAGAATATATAGAGAAAACTAGAGATTTGTTGGCGGAAACGTGTTATGTAACAAGCCATTTATCAAAGTCTAAATGACTTCTGCATATAGCCATAACAAGTACCTCATGATGACTTTGAAATGAAGGATCTCCGAAACTATTATTCTCATGATCACCACCCATATTATCATTATGATCAATGTTCGATGTGTAATAGTCCGCAGCATTGAAGGGATCCGTTTTGAGATCTGCATTCTGGCTTATATTAAATCTGGAGATGATCGATGATTATTTTCATCAAATTGGCAAAATATCTCCTTGAGAGTAGGACATATTTCAGTCTTTGCGCGTATGCCCACCACCATCTGCTCAACAGATTCTACATAGAAACCAAAAAATAAATAAATGGCTGAAAGAGAAGACAAATAAAAAAGGCAGGGAGGGGGAAAGGGATGAGAAAGAGGTGGCAAATCAACCCATTGAATTCTTAAGGGGTAATTTTTAAGACCCATTTAGTTTGATTTCACCATAATAAGGTATTACACCATCATCACCACTACCAATCTCACCACCATATTATGGTGCTGTCAAACTAAAAGAGTCATAATGGTTACACATTAACAACCCAATCAGTTGATTTGCCACCTCACTGAGATGGTGATTTGGTCAAATCAAGCAAGAGATTCTAATCTCACTCGCCTTTGGCAAAAGAGAGATCAATCAATTCCAAGGCAGTACTTTGCAATGAACATGATCTGCACTTCCCTGGAACTTCGTACGCATCAGAAAGCACCTGGCATCCTCCATATGCTCCAAGGTTATTCAGTAGCAGACCCTTGGCTCCACCTTCATCCAACTGTGCAAACGTTTGATGATATAGAGGATCCGCCACCAATGTGACTAAAGTTCAAAAATAAATCAAATTAGAACTTTAAAAGTAACAAGATAATAACCAAAATGGATAGTCTAGTTACCATCAAACTTCTTTATGTTAAGAGCTTCAAAGGAGGATTCCACTGTCGACATTGGATCTATCTGTTACAACTACATTCATTACTTTGAACTTGCAGTCAAAGTTTGTAATGCAATATAATTAAAACACAAATAAAAGTTCATACCTTCCTCTCTGACTCTTTCTCCCTACCCTGCTTGTTGCTGACATGGCCATCCTCCGTCGTAGTTACTGTCGCCAAAGCAAAACATTAGGGAACTGACCAAAGCAAAGAAGCAGTGAACCTCAAAGCTAATAAATCCGAAAACTGTCTGAGATAAAGAAAAAAGGGACCACAAAATCTGTGACACAAAAATAATTACAGACCTAAACCAATGTCTAAACCACCAACCTTGTTCATCTTCAAGACGAGCTCGATTCATCCCACTTAGGACCTTATATGCCTCAGCGTGCAATGAATCCACCCTCGCCGAGTAGATTTTCAACCCGGCTTCCAGTGTGCAACTTGCCTATTCACTCAAAACCAATAACAATAATATCTCCACAAGTACATACATAAACACCAACTATATCTCAAAAACCAACCAATTTTCACGATAAGTGCTCCAAACCTTTTGAAAATTAGTCTCCGCGCCATTTTCTGTTCCAACCTTAATAATGTCGCTAAGATGATCGATAAGCTTAAGCTCCCACGTGTTCTTCTGGGTTATTTTCTAGCATACAGAAAACAAAACAAAAAATCACAAAAATATCGAAAACTTTGAAAATAAAATAAACTAATGAGCCTCTTTTTTTGCTTTAGGAATGAAAAAAACATAGAGAGGTATGATTTTTAAGTATATGCTTCTTATTCCATGTCCATAATATGCTGATTCTCTTCATTTTCCTTTCCCGCATTTTCTCAGCAACCAAACAAACCCTCGTAAAATTTGGTCAATAACAGCAAATATAGTAACTGTATTACTAAACGCACTCAGCAATCTATTTTTTTGTATGTAATTTCATAGATTAGATAAGCAGAGAGAGCGGAGTGGGAGTGTGGTGAGGGTATGTACGGACATTTTCGCTGGCGACTTTGATACATTCTTGAAAGAGTTTTATAATCTGTTCTCTGCTGAGACAACGATCGTCCGGCAGAGAAGAATGAGCGGAAACTGTAGCCGCCTTGCGACGAATAGCGGCGGCGCGTGCCACGCGTGCCTGTGCACGTTCGAGCTGGTCGTCGTTGGAGCCCAAAACGAAAAGCGGACTGGTAGGCGATTGGGGACGGCTCGCCGTCGACGCCGTACTCCTCGGCTCTGCTGGCGGTTTTGGACTCATTGCCTCCGCCATTGATGAGCGCAGAGAGAGAGAGGGAAGAAGTAAATTTGAAAAGAGGGGAAAATGGTGGTTGCGTGTGGGTTTGTAATTTGATTCTATTCGCGAGACGACGCACGACGTGCCGTATTGTGTGTGGTTCCCGCCAAACGTCGGATTGTAGAGAATCAGACGACATGTCGTTTATTCGGCAATTCCAATTTCCAACCCCTTCCTCACGCATTCGCTCCTTATTTCTTGCTTTTTATTATTTTAGGCATTTATAATTTGGCCATAAACCCTAAACCCTCCACGTGCATCTCATTTCTGTTCGCCAGTGGACTCTCCAGATTCTTCTGGTATGGTGATTTCTACTCGATCTTTTGGTTTTTCGTGTTTTAGGTTTCCAATCTATCTACCCATTCTTCTTCGTTTGTGCATTTCTTTGTTAATTTTGTGTTTGGATGGTGAGAAAGTTTTTTAGCAAACAAAAAAGAAAAAGGAAAATTTGGGGAAAAATCGACATTTTGGGCCTTATTTTTCAACCGATTGTTGTTTACTCGTTCTGGTTTTACTGTTTAGGTAACAAAGTAATGAGATTTGCAAGTTGGGTCTGTTTTCTTTTCTGATTTTCGTCCAATTTTCTAGGTTATGTTTGGCCGGTATGAAAATTTTAGGAGGAGAGAAAAATGGGAGTGTCTACGAGATTCACGAACATGAATCGAAGAAAAATAAAGGCATTATTTTGAATGATTTACTTGGATTAATAACACTGGCATTTAACTTGTCCACACTCAGCATTCAAAAACATGAATTTCAACAAGATGAAAGTCCCCAAACTTCCTGGAGCTCGTGGCATTGCAACTTTGCTTACGGTGGGAGTTGTTGGTAGTCTTGGTGTATATGGACTTAACAATAGTCTCTACAATGTCGATGGAGGGCATAGGTCCATTGTGTTCAGTCGTCTTGTTGGTGTCAAAGACAAGGTTAGTTCTTTTCTCCAGTTCTTGGGAATTGTGTAACGTTAGATCGTTTTAAAATCTTGTTGAACACATTTTTCACGACCTAAGAATGACTTTAAAAGGACTGGTCAATAATGAGATCTGTTGTAATTGCTTATATAGCTCACATGGAGCCAATCCATGTCCAATTCAGCAAATGCTTTGCACAAAATAGAAACAAAAGTGGACTATCACAATATTATGAATTAAACAGTTTTGTTCTATACTTGTATGTCCATAACTTTATCTGTAGCATGTCTTTTTTTCTGTATCTACTGTGTCAGCACAATATATTTACATCTTAAAGTTGCAGGTTTATCCTGAAGGGACACACCTTATAATTCCATGGTTTGAAAGGCCGGTCATCTATGATGTTCGTGCAAAACCTTATGTAGTGGAGAGTAAAGCTGGAAGCCGTGACCTCCAGATGGTATGTAAATATCCTAATCCTTTTCCTGGAAAATTCTCAGAACAGCTTTAAAATTTATACAAATTGGCCACTGTGTAATAATGTGTTTGAGGTTATTCGATTTTTTCCTAAACAATTTTTTCATCGACTTGTATAAGTTATGTAGTGAACTTTAAGAGCATGTCTTTGAGGTCTTAAAGTAGGACATCCTATATCTCTATGAATTTGATCAGCTATGTTGCATATGAGAGTTCAATTATGATTTACTTTCAGGTAGGATAGGGTAAGGTACAAATGCAATCTCCATGAACTATGTACGTCAAAGGTTGAAACACTTGCATCACCTTTCATTACATCTATAGAACACAACAAAAGCCCTTAAATCTTGTGATAAGTTACTGTCGTGGCTAATGCCTACAGTGATGTTTCATCAACTCATCTCTTTGTCAAAACCAGTGAGCACTTGTCATGGGCTTCTCCTATGTGCTTTATATTATTTGGTGTTTATTATTCTACCCATCTGATCCCAAAAGTTTCAGAGTTCTCATGAAATCTTGTGTCGTTAACTCGTCCCACCCATTATGTTGTTGGGCACCCATTTTCCCTCTTGCTTCTGGTCTTTTATGTGTGAGAATTGTTATCTGCTGTCATATTGAGTTGAACCTGGTATTATCCATTTGTAGTTTCCACTTTTCAGTGAAGTGTTATAATGTTGTTTAAGTATTTAGGATACAAAGGTTTAAGGAGGCAGTAATAGTTTTGGAAAGCGAAAATTTTCAAACTGACTAATCATAATTCATTTTATTTCTACATATTTTGGTTTTTCTTTCAGGTATTAGTAGGTCTTCGAGTGCTGACCCGTCCCGTGCCAGACGAATTACCTACAGTTTATCGAACTCTGGGTGAGAATTATGTTGAGAGGGTCATGCCTTCAATTATCCATGAAACTTTGAAAGCTGTAGTTGCACAGTATAATGCCAGCCAACTTATTACTCAGAGAGAGGTAAGCAGAAGGTGTATCATTTTCTTTTGGCTATAACTAGGACTGTTTGGTTATGTTAAGTTTGAGTTTTATTTCAATCCGTCATTGCTTTAGTTTGTTTTCTTGATCCCCTTCTCCCCTTTCTCTCTCCCACAACTATGTACTGGTTTTTCTTTTTAACCTTTGAGGTACTGTAATGTCTTTTGCATGTTTAATATGTTATGTTGTAGGTATATATAATATGATATTTGATCGAAAGAAAACAAGGTAATAGTTCAATTTACCGGTGAGAAATCACTATCTATACCAATAATGTACCAAAACTTTTAAAACTGGAAATAAAAAAGTAAAATACCGATTAATTCAGTAATTGCAAGGTTGTCTAACGAGTGCAGTGCTGCTTTAATAGCCGGTACTCTTTTTTCAAAATTCAATAATGCTGGTACTCAAAAGTGTGATAGGTATTCAAATGGTTGATTGGTATGAGGGCTTGGGATTTAAAGTGCAAGTTTGACGTTCTTGCTTTCATCCTCCTCATTTTGAGTTAAAAAGTTCATTGGCTAGTGGGAAGTGTTCTTGATTATTGTGCATCTCTGGTGATCTATTCTTTCTGATGCGACTCAAATGGTTGATTTCCATAACTCAAATCATTTGAAGCAGTACTGATGATGAGTAGGGTCTTTTATTTCCTCTTCCTTTATGGTACATTGCAAACTTGTACACTTCATTTGTGTACATATTATGTGAGGGAGAAATTGGAGATGGTATTCCATGTGTCACTGACTGTTTGTTGATGGTATTCTTATTATTTCGTAGGCCGTCAGTAGGGAGATACGGAAAATTTTGACAGAGAGGGCAGCGAATTTTAACATTGCACTGGATGATGTGTCTATCACTAACCTGACTTTTGGAAAGGAGTTTCTGACTGCAATTGAAGCAAAACAGGTAGCTGCACAAGAGGCTGAGAGGGCAAAATTTGTTGTGGAGAAAGCCGAACAAGACAAGAAAAGTGCTGTTATCAGAGCAGAGGTGAGATGGGGGAATGCTAATTTCTCAATTTTGAATATAGTTTTCTTTTTGGTGCATGTTTTTGCAATGTTTTTACTTATCCGTAAAGTATTTCAAAATAGAGACAGTACTGGGGCGGCAACATTGATCGGCTGCTCATCCTTTCATGATAATGGGAATTGATAGATTTGTAGTGGTAGTAAGTACGTGACCGGAAAAGGAATCAGTTTGTCTGATTATTAAATGCCAACACATTGTATCAAACATTTGTTTCTTTAGTTGTACCCGCACGTATCGGGACCATACTGCTGGAAAACATCCCTCCTATTTATCTGTAGTATTATCTGGATTTCCAATTTGGTACAATATATAGTGGTAAAATGTGTGTATGGGATTAATCTTTTTTCTGTTCTTTTCTGGTAATCATTTTATTTAGATTCTCGTCCATTGAATTAAACGTCTGACTCTGTTGATTTGCCTGCTTAATTTCTAGGGTGAAGCAACGAGTGCGAAGCTGATTGGTCAAGCCATTGCCAACAATCCAGCATTTATCACTCTACGGAAGATTGAGGCTGCAAGAGAAATCGCCCAGGTTATCTCAGATTCCAAAAACATGGTTTACTTGAACGCCGATGAACTTTTGCTGAACATTCAGGGGAATGTGCAGTAGTTAAGTAAGCAAAGTTGTTCGGTCGTGGGGATGCTTCAAAAACTCATAAATGAAGAAACCGGATGGTTGTTTTGTAATGTGATGGGTTATAGAAACAAAGGGATTCTGGATATATTCCCACTTTGTGACGATTTTCTGACTGACTAGAATAAGAACAATGTGGGGAGGAGGTAATAGATGCATGCTCCCCGGTGATGCAAATTTACACTAAGCCGGGCACGGCTCTGTCCCGCCTGTTTTACACGATGTTTGCCCGGTCGCAAGTAAATGTGAGTGGAATTTGTAAGGGAAGAAACATGAACAATCGCGTGATTTGAGCCTATCGGATGAAACGCTGACGAGTAAAAATGTATGGCACTGGTAGTATCCGAGCTGGAAATCATCTTTATATACTCGGGATCAACTATCAGATATTATCATACAGCCAATTGTTCAGAGAAATTAAACACGATTTCTAAAGATTTTACAGATGAATTCTGAGTACAAACTTAGCATTCTTTTTGCTAAATCCTTTCACTATCGGCGGGGGGGGGGGGAAGAATGTTGAGATTTTTTCGACAATGCAAATCACCGCCAAGGGCCGTGTTTCACTAACCATCTGCTAGCTGGAACTTCTCATGAGATAAGCTACAATACATCCCAACACTGCACCTGCAAGAACCTGCGGCAATATGAATCGAACAAAACAGAGATACAGGTTATGATCATTCGTATTAACTCTTCATCATTGACAATCAAGTGCATGAATAAACAATGATTGATGCCGAATGAACATGAAGACGCAAATGCAGCAGACCTGCAATGGAGTATGACCAAGAGAATCCCGCAGAGGTCTAACACTAGAAACAGGGTGTTCTGGAGGTAGCTCACACACTATTTGATTTAATAACTGCAATAAGCAACATAACGTATTGAATTAGAAAAGAAAAATACAGTAAAACACAAGCATTGAAACAAACCAAATATACAGTAACACTTACACAACTTATGAAACAAGTACACAGTAAACAACCACCACTA